GAATAAACTTTCCCCATAATAACTTCATTCAGGAAAGTATTATTTCTTGGCTTAGGTAACTACCATTGAATGCTGTGAAAAAAACAATCTACGCTGGACACTGATATTATATCACTTCACTACCGTGCCTGTGATTCAGTCACCAGACAAAATATGTAGGCACGAAGATTTCAAGAGACTGTAGAATGACCCATGGGAGGGACTTTGTTTGTTATCCTTACTTGGGAGCTAGGGAACCAAAAAATATTACATCCATTTCTCCTTGGCAGCAATCATGAAAATTGTGTTTTTCGTACATTATGGAAAGGTTGTTTCATGGTTTCCCCCTCGTTCCCACTACCATCTGGAAAACTTGGAGACAGAACACATCTTCATTCAGCTTTGCAAAAAAGGTCTGATTCCAACTTTGGCCAGACATGTCAGAGGACTGAAGCCAATGGAACACAGGGGAAAAATCCTGCTTGCACTAGTGGCTCTTAGAGCAAATTTCCTCAAACAAAATTAGCTTTTCTAATTTGGTTCTCATTTTTATGTTAATTTAGTGATTTATACTAAAGAAATGCATCAGTGGAAACTTTCATTGAGCAATCTCCTTAACAATGACTTACTAGAACCACCAAAGAGCATCACAGCTCACAGACTTGCACTGAACAGGAGCTTCTTCAGTGCCTTGGGTAGGAGATATGGATTATGGATTAACATCTCCTTTGCTTCCCTGTCAAGTTGCCAAGGACCAGCTGCTTTCTAACTCTTTGTTTATGGCCTCTTTTTCTTCTGGTGTATGAAGACAACTCATAACAAAGTGGCCAACAGACAGATTCTGTTACTCAGCCATTTTGGTAATGGAAGGCTGATGTGATTTCTGGGAAACTGACTGTGAACCTTGGTTCCTAAATTTCTGCTAATGTTCTGTCTGTTCTGCAGAGTGATACCTGTTTGATCTGATCTCTGGAAACTCTTCTGAAACTTCTGATATTATTGGAATGTATTTAAGTTCACTTTTGTGCAGTAGTTTTTAAGACTATTTTATATAAATAATCTCCATTTAAAAAAAGTGAAAAGATAGCTCATCTAGAAAAGCATCATATAGTTCAAGTCCTTAATGATTATTAAAGATTTAAAGGAACAAAATCTGTACTAAACAATCACAGAGTGCACAGCAATATACTTATTTTTAGGGGTTGGAATCCCTCAGCTTTTTTTTCCTAACAGTAGTTTATTTTACTATGATTTATATTTTCAACTTATCTGCACTTTTAATTCTTTTAAGGGGCACAACATAGATGTTACAGCTAGGTGTTACATCTGGCTGTGTGTTACACCTGTTTTTAGAAACTAAGCCTTATTGAGGAGGATGTTGTTTTTTTGTTTGTACCTTCATCATTCACTGTGTATAAATATAAGAAACAGCATCAAATTGTTAATTTAAGAAATTATAAATTAATAGCAAAAATACCAAACTTACATATATCTTTAAAAGAGGTAATGGTACAGTTGTATTTAAAAATGTTCACTGGCTTTGGAAACAAACAGAATTGCTTCCAGAACATGAGACTTGTTTTAATTTATCATGAAGGATGAAACCATTTAAATAGGTGAGTCATAACAGAGGCAACATTAGTATGACCAGAGGGCAAAACAAACTTGCTTTCTGATAGCCACACAATCCTGTGTCTGCATCTTGCTACAAGAGTAATGTTTTTTTTTATATTCTTTTAAGAACTGTTGAGGAAATCCTGTAGTCAAAACAATCCTGGCTGAATGTGTATTTGAAATGCTCAGTGTAAATAAAGACTTATTTGTTTGTCATACATGTGATTTTTTCACAGCCTTACAAGAGTAAATAACCTTAGGTTGTTTACATATACTACTGGCAATCACTATGGAAGAATTGCATGCTCAAGACAGTGAATCATGACCTGCTTCCAACTTTCTATAGGTTTCATTGGTGGCACTTGAGTTCCAAATTTTTCTCTAAAATCAGGTCTATATTTTCTTGCTTTTAGTAAAAGCATAGACTAATGCAATCACTCTGACACTTTGTATGAAATCATATAAAGCTATTGGATAATCAATAATTAACTCAAATTTGAGATGATTGGTTCTGTGACTTCTGTAGAAAAAAAACTGGAAAGCCAGCAGAAAATATTAGAAAGACTGAGAATAGGACTAATTAACGTAAGAATCATCAACCAGTAGAAGAATTAATATGAATAAGATAATTATGTGACTTGTGGCCAATGAACATTAGTGCCTTTGTTCGCTAAAATTTTATAAATAGTGAGGAGTTTCAATAGTCATTGTGCTGGCTTTGTGGAGGTGCCATCCAGCCTCCATTTCTGGACAGAACTGTAAATATGTCTAATACCTCCGTTCTGTGTGTGGATCTGCCTCTTGCACAGCCTATTTTGGGACAACACCAAATGCTAATGACTTTGGGGTTATAAAAAAGTCACCTGGCCACACCACCTGCTGGAAATGCAACTGCTACTGAATCATCTAGGAGATGTGTGGGGAGCTCTGAAAAGTGCTGCAGAGGCTGGACACTTGAAAGGATTTCTCCCCACAGTAAAGAGTGTAGTAAACACTCTCAGAAATCAGGGATTTTGGATTCACATGTTGTAAAATATCAGCCAGACACAGGGATTAGGACCGAGCAGAAAAGTTGGCTAGAATTTGCTGTGCCATAAATCAACTGAAAAACATGAATGTGAAAAAAAGCCCAGACCTATTTATGGTGTAAACGTTAATTCTGGTACAACTGAACAACAAGGAGTGGAAAAACCAATGTAAAATTATAGAGCGTAAGGATTTAATCTAAATACTGAAGATATTTCTAAGCCTTAAATTTGCTTTATTACCTACTTTTCATGTTGGGTTGCAAAACAACATTAAAAGCTTTGCTGAAATTTAAAAAAATGTTATGTTGTTTAAGTGATTCTTACCTGAGTCTGCAGCCTGCTCAATGCTCCAGCAGAGTTTTGTGTTGGCTGTACCATCCCCAGCATCCTGCCTGCTGGACCATTACTCAGAAGAGAAGCACAGCATATGGATCAGGAAATTACATTTTGGGGCCTACATGTGGGGGAAAAAAATGTAAGTATAAAGCCACAATAGATTTCTGAGTGGATTTCAGCCTATCCATTAAGATCATTCAAAGCAGGAAGTCTCTGAAATTTTGTGAGCAACTTCCACAAGTTCCCTGTATGTATTCTAAATTAATGGAAAACACAAGATAGACTTCCTGAAAAGGTTATTTTTATTTAGATAGTAGAATCCAATCTTTTAATTCTGTAGGATAAAGGAGGTTCCTCTGGAAAATGTGTATTGTCAGCAGCAGACAATTTTTGTGATTTCTCATGACAGTCATGGTGACTGTCTAACAAGCTAATTGCCCATTTTTTTACCTTTCTACAGATGACACAATAAAATACAATTGGAAAGTTTCACTTTTCTTTTTTCAATTTTTTTCCCCTAGACTCGTGTTCAAATCTTGCAAGTTTTGTGGTTGGAGAAACAAGCTAATTTTTGTTCAAGCAATAGATTTTGTACTCATAGGAAGACTTCAAAGAGATACAGCAGAATATGAAAGCATGTTGACAGAACAGCTTATTTGGACATTAATATTAGTGTTTTTATAAAATTAGTCCTAACATAATGTGCAAGAAAATAAATGTGTGAAAGAAGCTCCCTACAGAAGTTGAAGAAGCTCCATCTTCAGAGGTACTGAAAAATCAACCAAAGCTGGAGCAACCTGCTGTGATGTCAAAATTAGCCCAGCTTTAGGTGGAAGGCTTGAAGAAGGGTCCTGTATGTGCCTCCTCCAAATATGAACTATACAATGAAATTAGGCCTTGAATTAAAAGAAATGTGGTAGAGGATGGAAAACACACACAGATGCATGATTGCATAAGTACTGTCTTCTCAGAAGATAAGCAGAGAGAATTTCAGAGATATGAGCTGAGAACTCTGTCTTGTTTCTCTAATATGTAAAGTCACTATGGCCAGTTTTGTAGCCCTTCAGCAGCTGGATCTCAAACAATAAGACTCAGTTTCAGTTCCCTGTATTTTGATCAAAATGAACTTATTGGAGCTGGAATTTTCTACTATTGTATTATTTACTCAGGCTAGTGACTTTCTTTTAAGTCCCCTTAAGAGTAATTCAATCATTTCCAAAAACAAATTAGCAGAAAATATGCATTTCTTTTGTATAAATAAAATGTTTATAAGTTTTAATCAAAGCTGTGCTTTGTGGTAGTGTTTTCAAGTTTGGCAGCCTAGAAGACTGGCATAAACTTGGCCAAGTTCTGAGTGGCTTACTTTATTTACATAATTGCAGAAGTGATTTTTTGGCATTGTGTAGGTGGTCTCCAGCAGTCTCTTCACTGACATATTCCATCTCAGAGCTTCCAAGGCAAGCAGAACTTTTTGTATGTGTGTACATATGCTTTCTACAGGAACAGCATTGTGAAGGCTTAGGAGCAAATCATTGATGCTGCTGGTGCATAGAAGTGGAATTTGAGTTGTATGAGTGGATGGAGAATACAGCAAAGAATTAAGACATGGTGGAAATGAAAGTGATGAGAAAGTTTGATGGTAGCAGAAGTAGAAGGATTTATGATCACTAAAGCATATTCTACTCAACTTCAAACTCAATTCCATGCTCACTGTCTTCCCATGAATTTGTAATTATAAAAAGGTATTAAATCTTTAATCACAGTATGATGTAATTATTTCCTTTTTCTCATAGAGCAATTGTGAACCAGATGGATTGTTTTCACTTAGTAGATAAAGATCCTGGAAAAATGCCAAACCAAACCCCTGTATAAATGGCTTTGTTTGACAAAAAAGGTGTGTAGAAAAGGAGACACAAGTTCAGAGTAAGAAAACCTGGGTTCAATGACAAAGGTTGCTGGATGCAGCCCTGAGTCCTTGCCCTTGCCTTCATCTCACCATCTTTCTGTGAATTGGGCAAACTCCTTAACATAGATTTTTCACAAGCAGCAATAATTTTGAGTTCTGTCTCACAAGAAATCCTATTATTTGCTTTGCATATCTGCCCCTAGGATGGGATGCTTCATGCTCCCCAGGCAAATATTTCTGGTTGCAATAGCTAGCTCAGATGCTAGCTCAGATGCTAGTAGGTGTTACAGTTTGAAGAAAAAAAGTGTCTTTGTAGAGCTTAGTTCAAACTGGCAGCAATTCCTCACAGCTGCACTGAACACAGTAGGAGCTAAAGTGAACACAGACAATCCTAGAGAATACTAAACAATCACTTAAAAATAAAAATTTATCCCCAGGTATCACATGCTGGGCCCAAAATATTTAGCTTCTTCCAATATTTTTGCATTTGTAGAGTGAAATTCCTCTTTTCTTATCCTTTCCTATCCTTTTGAGAAAAATTAACTAATCCATGATCAAGAAGAAAAAAATGGGTGATATACTGGGAAGTGGCATATATATATATATATATATATATATATATTCTAGCTAGTGTAAAATTACATTTCTTGTGCCCATGTAAGTAATTACTATAAGATAGTGTAACTAAGGCTGTAGACCTTTTTTATTCAATAGAAATGATTTAAAACTAAAGAAACTGAGTGAATGAAAGCTGTAAGCAGTGAGGAGTCAGATGGCTTTGGCTATCACCAGCATCCAGTGTTGGTCGCTGCAGGACAGATCTACCCTTGGAATCCCCAGGCTGAGAACAGGCACCAGTGCAATCCCAGGTGAGCTCCCAGTGCCACCCTCCTCTCACCCTCTCTGCTGCCCAGCCTCTCCACTGCATGTGACAGCCCTGGGTACAACTAATCATAGTATCAGCAATAATCCAACCTCAGGAATGTGAAGCAGCAGTTGACCTATTATCCTTTCCAAGAAGCAGCATAAAGCAAAACTCTAGGAGCTACACCGTTGCCAAAGTACACTATCGGGGAAACAAAGTGTTGTGGTTGTTTTTCTGTCAAAGGTTACAGTACCTGAGCCTTTGAGAGCGACTGTGACTCGCATTCCTGTGTTCCCATAAGCACACTACACCCTTTTGTTCTAACAAGTCTGTTAGACTCTTCTGTCTTTATTATTTTCATGGCATTCAGCCTGAGGTTAATTTGGCATTCAGCCCGAGGCAACTTGACTGTATGACATATACTAACAGATATCATTCATTATTTTTGAGCAAGTGTGCTCATGCTGATAGCTTTTCCTCTTAAAAGTAGGTTGGTGGCAGTAACCAGCTGCAGCTTTCAGAACTCAGGCACATAGATTCCCGTAGAGAATTCCTAAATTCTGGAAGGGCAGGTAAGGGCTTCTTCCCTTACAAGAAAACAGACAGCAGCTTTGTCACTTGCCAGAATATATGCAGGCCCCACTGGTAAAAGTGCCATAATTCTTAGTTAGCCAATGCAGCATCAAAAGAGGCTGCAGAGTTCATGCCCAATTTTCTATCCTGTTGCTTATCAACCAAAAAGAACCAATGTTAGTAGTATGTTACCAACATATTAACAGTTAAAATTAGTTTTCAGATATGTGAAGTAAACCTTGTCACCGTTGTTATTCTTTTACCAAAAATGGGTCTTCTACTATATATGTTTTTTACAAGATTTCTAGCACAACTGCATTGTCCAATTTGTATCTTCACAAACACAGTCCACGGCAGACAGTGACATGATACAGTCAATGAGATCAGGTTCCTTCTCCAGCAGAGACAATAAACTTTCCTGCACTGTCCTTAAACTCTGGAGAAGAAAATTACCAACACTTGACATTCACAGCCTTCTGGAAGACACTGCAGCCAGGGAAAGGTGCAGTTGGAATGATTTCTGACTAGCAGTTTGGAATATGATGGTCCATCTACTCAAAAATAAATTGCAGCCAGTAAATTTTCTTCTCTTTTTACTTACAAAAAGACATCCTAATATATTTGATAAATTTCAGTCATGAGTGGGCTGGATTAACAACTTTGGTATAAGACTTTTTTAAGTACCACAGAGTGCAACCCTCTTAGTCTAAATCATTTTTTATGAAACAGTCTTTTAAAAGCAGTTCCTCAGTGGGCAAAACAACTCCATCCACCAATTTTTGGTGAAGAATATTTAAGAATTGACATTAGAGTTAATTGGGAAACTATTAAATTGTTCAGTTGCAATGTATAGCAGCTGTATCAACAATGTCTGAATTATCATCCTATGCTGCCACTAAGGATTTCCCTCATCTGTTACAGCATGAAATACTCTATGGTAATTTGTAATGATGCAAGTATCTGGTAACCTGCTTACAATAACTTATCAGCATGGACAACAGCTTAATTATATAGTACATCTCCTGATGGCTTCCAAATATTTCTGATATTCCTCAGTAATTTCTAAGAGAAATAATAAACAAATAAGCAGGAATCCATTTCCTTCTTTTACAGTAGTACACTGATTTATGAATGGAAGACAAAGCTTTTATTAGCTGCCAAGGTGCCTGAATTCTTTGTGCTCTCATCATGATATAAAAATTTATCCCTAGCCACCCATAAATCCTGATGAATGATGGAGAGCAAGCCCCAGGTCAGTTAAAGGATGTGGAGAAAATCCTAGACCAGACTTCTCAGAGAGAAGAATATTATCTCAAAGGTGACACTCAGCCCTGGTCAAGTGGGATATCTGTTTACACTGATGAAGTACAGGCAGCTTGGATGAAATGCCTTTCTCTTCTGGTCCTACCTTCAGGTATCAGGAATGGTGTGGCCAGCAGGGGCAGGGAGGCTGCACCTGGAGTGCTGTGTCCAGTTTGGGCCCCTCAGTTTGGGAAGGACATTGAGATGCTTGAGTGCATCCAGAGGAGGCAGCGAGGCTGGAGAGGGGCTTGGAACACAAACCCTGTGAGGAACGGCTGAGGGAGCTGGGGTGTTTAGCCTGGAGAAAAGGAGACTCAGAGGTGACCTTATTACTCTCTAAAACTTCTTGAAAGGTGGTTGTAGTCAGGTGGGGGTTGGTCTCTTTCTCCAGGCAACAAATGTCAGAATGAGAGGACATTATGGAGATGTTTTTCACAGAAAGAGTGATAAAATATTGGAATGGCCTGCCTGG